ATATATATATATATATATATTACATTACTGATAACTATTATTGGTATCCTGTGTAAGAGATCTATTTATTATAAAATAGTGAGAGTCACACATCCTACATAAAATTCACCCACTTAAAGTGAATTTTAATGTAGTCAAAGATATGCATAACCCTACCACAGCATTTTAAAATATTTTAATCACTACACACTCACTTTAAAAATATCAAATTGGATTTACAAAAATGCTAACTTTGAGATACAAACAAGTTTTAAGTACTTTATATTCTGGAAGCGTGAAATGCCTTTGAAGTCTGGCGGCATTACTGGTATTTTTCAATAAAGAATAATTTTCTCCAATTTAAAAAAAAGTAAAAAATAAAAATAAAAATGCTTATCCACAACTCTCTGTGGGCATCTTGGTGGCTGACAGTGATAGAAAGTACCTCCTCTTGGAAAACACTTGCCATCCTGTCTCCAGGGTACACCTGGTCTTAGGGACCAGGCCCTTGGTCTCCAGCCTGGACAGACAGGCATGAGTCAGGGAAAGTCCTAAGGAGTGATACCACAGCACTTTGTAGTTTGTGAAGAAAACTGGGGTCAGGAAAGATGTCAAGAGCCAAGTGTTTGGTTTGAGTTGTCCAAACAGATTGCTGTGGGACAGTCTTGGGAGGCAGAAGTAACTCAGCTCTGGGGGCACCATCTGTCAGTTGCGGGAAGATTTCAGTAGCAACAGAGAGCAGAGAACTTCCATGTAGGCCAGCCTAACTCTGCACATGCACACGCTGCCTGGCCATCCTCTGAAGTTAAGGTCCATCCAGGTCCTCTGAGTGTATTTCTCACCACCTTTCTCCTGTAGCAAGCTCAAGGACAGTGTCACACTTCATAGGAAACCGAGATGCAGACCCTCACACCTTCTTTGCCATTCCTGGTGTCACCCTATGAAGATCAAAAAACTTTCTTACAAGTAAACTTCACAAGGAAAATTAGTAGTCAGCCTTTGCAAGTGATTAACACGATTTCTCCATTGGCATCATATAAACAGAAGCATTCTTGCCAAGTGCTCGATCCCTCTTCTCATCTCATGGAGCACATGGACACAGAGTCAACACACAGAGCTTTCCTCTTCGCTCTTCTGACAGCAGAGAGTCTGTCATCATGGAAATCATTCTTCTACCCCACAAACCCAGTTCTTCTTCTAAAGGTACAGAACACCAGCCTTACCAGCATTTGGGAATCAGATGGGCCAGATGTCTTCCTGCCCCATAGAGAGAGCTCTCCCCATCTCTGACTCTGAGTCTTTGTCTTTGGCCTCATTATTAAGGATTTTATCAAGTAAGGAGGGTTTCAAACAAAACCGGCCTTTTCACTGATAAAGTCATTTCCCTTGGTCTTATGTCTATAAAAGGAATTTGCCTGTGGCTGGGGATTTAGCTCAGTGGTGCCACCCCACCTGCCTCGAAAGTGCAAGGTCCCGAGTTCGATTCTCAGTACCAAAAAAAAAATAAAAAAGGAACTTGCCATTTTGCCAGAAATAACCCTGTACCTGTTAAGGGTCTGTCTAGCTTGATCATTAGTCTTGCTCTAGAGATGGCTTAGAGCTACTTTCCACCTAAAAAGGCATCATTTGGTCCCTAAATAGATCCATTGGATGTACTAGATGACATAGCTAGTCCTCAGCCATCTTTCAAAGTACCAGAGAACACACCATCAACTCTGCCCAGCACGCTTTTCAGTGTGCTAAGAAAAATGTCTAAACAGTATTTCTAGCTAATGATGTATTAATTGTTTTCTGATTTGGATCTAATAATAATACCCCTGAAGTAGGTAACATCTATCAGTGAAACTTGCCCAGTGAACCAGGAATGCCCAACCAATGCCTGTGACTCCAAATCTGTTCCTTACTCATTTCATATCTGGGATGAGCCACAGTGCCCAACTGACTAGGACAGGTGCCATGGGGAAATACAATCGCGTGGCTACAGAGGGGGAAATTAGAAAAGACGCCCACCAATTTCATAGATAAGGCAGTCCCTGATGTTTGGAAGTAGAAATCAGGAGTGAGATTCCTAGAAGTTTTTCCTACGTGATCTCTTACACTCCCACATTTGTGCTTTAATTCATCTTGTAATGATTAAATGAATCCGTCCTACAAAGCCCTTACCTCTCACTAAATGCAAAATAAGGTCAAAAATGGTAACAATAGGCAGGATATTTGACTACAAATAATTGAAAATATTATCACTTAGTTTCTCCCCATTCTTGCCAGTATTTATGTCCTAAGTAAAAGAAACTATGTTTAGGAAAGGGATAAATGGTCATATACATGTTTCGACTTTTTTCAGTTTTTAATTTTAATTGACACTTTTGCAGTATGTAATGATTACATTCCTTGTGGGGAGTTGGTGCACAACACATCTTAATTGCTTTTTCACCACCTTTTCCTCCCCTCCCTGCCACTGATTGAATGTAGTTGGTGCTTTGCATATTGGTTAGAAAATTAAATTCACAGTGTCAAGACAGAAAAAGGATTAATATAAACTTGCCTCATCTATAAAATATGATGAAAATATGGAAAATGTTTGAATTAGAAGAATGTTTATTACAGAAAAAGACATTTGCCATTAATCCTCCTCAAAATGCTTCCCCTTGTTTTGAACACTTGTGCTTGCTACATTCTGAAGCAGTTCTGGAAATCCTCCTTCATGGGTGTCTTTCTGTGGCTGTCTTGATGTGATCAATCTATTCACAACATTTACATTTTTTGTCAAATGAAAATATTACAGTGCATCCTCACCCACCTTATTGACATTTAACTTTTTGCAGACTGTGTCTACATTATTTCCTTAGTACAGAACAGCTCTTACTTAATGCAGTTCCTAGGACCTGCCACACCTGAAGGCAAAAATTCTTTTCTGGTTCATCAGGAGAAGTGAGGGCTTTGTACTTCATAAATAAAGTGCGGGGGTTACAGCTACTGGCTTTTACCTGTCCCTGGGAACATGGTGAGAATAGGAAAGCAATGACAATTAGTACACACACACACACACACACACACACACACTCTTAAGGCAGAATCAACACACTTCATACATGCCATCAGAGCTGAAGGATGAAGGACCATGAGCCACACCGATACCAAGGCCTTGTGAGGTCAGCTGGCTCCCACCACCTGGACACTGCTGCGTACAGCAACTCCGAAGTAGCTGCTGTGCTCACAGAGGCTGTCCTTAGATTATCATCGATCTCCTACAGTATACTGAGTTCTCCAGAACCTTGCTAGAAAGATTAAGTAGGTTGAGCCTCTGGGATGTAAAAACTAAGTTTTCATGATCCAGTTGCAATGGGCCAGAAATATCACTGCAGCGAAGTCCTGAAAACCCTGGCAAAAGCCAGCAATGAGAGTACAGAAACGTCAATTCAAAAATGACAGTTCTCTGCAGTCTGCACGGCAGACAGCGCTTCCTTGGTGTCTCCTGAAAGGGCACTGTGATAGGAGAAGACTCCTGCCGCCTTATGTAGCCACTGACTCTTTGCTGAGAGCCTGCATCGTGTTCAGGTCAGTATGAGGAATGAGGAAGCCAGCAGGCTAAGAGATCAGGTTACATGGGTTCAGATTCTGGCTTTATACCAAGTGCTGGGCAGATCACTTCTCTTCTCTGTGCTTCGTTTCCCTTAGCTGCAGTTTATGAAGTTAATTCAATAAATTACTTCTTACTAATAGAAATAAGGGTTAAAGATATTATCTATGAAGGTTCATGTATTACCTATTTTTTATTATTTTAGCTCTGTTCAGGAAGGAAAGGAATCAAGAAGCATTCTAATGTGTTTACATCAGAAAAAAATCTAGACTTGTATTTCAGTGCTTTTGTTCGATTTTGGTTTACATAGAGGAATAAGTACCACTTGTGTAGAAGATTAGCATAAGTAGTTATCTATATAAGCAACAATGTGCTTACTGGGTGGCAGGTACTGTGCCAAGTTTAAGCAGAAGCTAGAGAGAGAGACAAGTAAAATACCTCTGCTATCATGGAGCTTACGGAGTTGGGGAAATGTGTGTTATAAGCAAGATAACAAAAGGAAAATCCATGTCCTGTTGGACAGTGGTAAGGGCTGGGTAGAGAAGATGACCCTGTGATCTGCACAGAAACGTTTCCTCAGTCAGCAGTACTGAGTTCCATGCACAGCCCACCCTGTGCTGGCTTTCAACCCAATGAAGCTCCAGTTAGATGCAGTAAGTGAAGAATCTCGGAAACCCACATGGCTCCGGTGTATAAGACGGGATCCACAGTGAACAAAACTTAAGAAGGTCAACCTGTGTCTTGCTGACCTTCTGTACGATGCGTGCATCTTTCCAGGGATGCAAGTACCATTTCCACAAGGTCGTCCCTCTGAGGCATTACCTCTTTCCCTACCTGTGAGGCCAGACAACAGCACTCCTCTTCCTGGGAGCAGCACCGGGTCAGGGTCTGCTGAGCTGGGTCCACCTGCTGGTCAAACCCTCTTGCATTTGTCTCTTGCGTGTCCTGGGGTCCAGGGAGGGCTGGTTTAAAGTTACCTACAAACTGCGGAGAGAAGTGTGGTCTGATGCATTTCAGAAGATCACTCATTGCTGCATGGACAGTGAACTACAGAGGAGAGGACTTGACAGAGAGAACAGGAAAGACCTGGGGGTAACCTGCAGGAAGGCGGGGAGAGCAGGCCCTGCTCAGAATGTGTCTCAGAGTGTGGAAAGGAGAATAGGAAACAATTTCTACTTTTATAGCCTAGAGCTGGGGGCATAGCTCAGTGGTAGAGCGCTTACCTAGAATGTTCAAGACTCTGAGTTCCATCCCCAGAGTTGGGGGGAAAATGAACTTTTCGATGTATGGCCTGAAGGACTGGGTGAATGGTGACATCATTCAATTCTATGAGGCAAATGAGAGAACAGCAAGTATGAAGCAGAGATGGAAAGTTCTGTTAACTTCAGTAAGATTATCCCAGAGCCCAGCAGGGACTGGGAGTTGAAGGCTGAGGGATGGAGGAGGAGCTTGGCCACACAGGCTCTGGAAAAACAAAAAGTGATAAGAATGAGGCTAAAGAAGCCACCATGTACCTTTAAAGATCTGAGGGAGGTCTGTCATAAATTCAAAAGAATGTTAACTGAGTACCTAGTATGTGCTAAGGGTTATACATGGAAGGAGGGAATTATGGCACTGAAATGGAGATGTTTCTCATCCTCCCAGGGTTTCCAGACTAAGTAAAGTTGCACACATTACTGCCACAACAATGTTTGATGCCTACATAGGCCTAACCATTTACAGGTCCCTCACTTGATCCATGGAAGTAAATACTGTCATCTGTCATCTCCATTTTAAATGAAGACACTGAGATCCAAGAAGTAAACAAGAATTCATAAGGCCAGGAGACCATTTAAGACCTGATTATAATAGAAAATCAGCAGCTCAGGTTATTTCTGTAAAGGATTGGCTGACTTGCTTCTGTAGAACTAAGGCATTATATTTTATTTATTTATTTTTATATTTGTATGTGTCATATTTTTATTTTACAGATGCATATTATGCCTTATACATTATAATTTATCATAATAAAACATATATGATGAAAGTATGAAACATGCAGAACGTGTATCTGCAATTTGGTGATTTTTTTTGCAAGAAAAGCAGAGTAATGCCAAATGTCTGTTTGAAACAAAATGTTTTTAAATGAACAATGCTTCTTTTTCTAGTAGACTTGTAATATCATGAAGACTAATTTTGCTCTGATACCAGTAAGCCGCAGATCAAGAATTGAAGACCTTGGACCTACGGTCAAGGTCTCCTCACTGACTGTTACCACTCTGTTGTTAATATTGCCAAAGTAATCAGTCTTTTATTTAATGACAGTACTTTCTGCATCTTAAAAATCCCTTCCTACCACAAGGACAGAAAAATATTAACCCATATTTTCTAAATATTTTAGTATAGTTTTCTTATCCTTAGAGCTCTAACTGCTTCCAAAAGGACTAGCATGTGTTTGGCATTCAGTAAATATTTGTGGATAAATGAAATAAACAAACAGTTAGTTCATTGATGCAGCTAGAAAGTTTGGCCACACCTATTGGGAAATGCAGTCATATTTCTACCACTCACAAAAATAAGAAAAATATGCTCGAGATAATGAATTTGGAATAAAAATTAAACTTCTAAAAACTTTGTAGATAATGAAAACAAGAATGAGCTATGGTATTTTAGAAACCAGAGCAAATCAGGGATCAATTTAGGTAAAGATCTTTGGGAAGATGGTGGAGGATGGAGGCTGTGTTCAAAGGAGCGGTCCACACCACCCTTCCAGAGAGGGAGACCTCCCATGGGGAAGCAGGAAGGGCCCATCCCAGACTCGTACTTTGGAATCACCACCAGGAGACAAGGTCCAGTGGCAGTGGTTTCACCCCATGCTGTTGAGAGACAAGGGAGAGGGAGGAGCAAGGTGTGGGGAAAGGAAAGCATCCAGCCCCTCGCCCCCTGGCCAGCTAGGGGAGGGCTCTCACACGGCCCATGACAGCTCCTCGTGGCCACCGCTGGCTGCAGGTTCGGAAGCCATGTGTGCACAGAGATGAGAAGCAGAGGTCTGGAGAGAGGCTGCCTTCACCCACCAGGGCTCCTAGGCTGGGTAAGTGGGAAATGGCACCACCCTGAGCTTCCTGGGTTCTGCCCCTCACAGGGAGGCATGCAGGACAGCGACTGCCCTCCAGGATGTTGCCAGCCCACTCCTGGAGGAAAGGATGATACTGGTTTGGAAAACAGATAAGAGTTCAAAGGAGGGAAAAGCCACCTAGGTTATCTCCAAGGATAAGAGCTTTCTCAAAAGTGCCTCACTCTCTAGAACGATGTGAATAAAATATTTGCAGTGCAGCCAAGGAGGACCAGAGAAATCACCTTCTCCTCCAGGTTACATCCGGCAGCTGCTTCTGTGCCCTGAGAGAGGGCAGGGATCTCCAAGGAATTGTTTTGAGTGTGAAGGGGGAGGGGTGCTGGGGAAGTGGCATTTGGCTGTTTCTGTAGCTCCAGTTTCCTTTCCTGAGTCTTTCCTTTAATCCGGTATTAATCAAGGAGTGGTAATGGCTGTGTCTGTCTCCCCTGTACTCTGACTCTTTCAAATTCCAACATCCTTTCTGCTTTCCCTTCCTCCTCAGTCTCTTTTGCTGTTCTCTCAATTGTTTTTTTGTTCTTTCTCCCTCATTTCCTTTTCCTTTCTCTACCCTTTATATGTTTATGTCCACCCAATATCTCTCTATGTCTGTCTCCCTCTTTTTCTCCCCACCCTGTCTCTGCCACATACACACACGTACACACCCTCCATTCATCTTTTTCTCCTCTGCCCCACTACTGAGCTTTCTTAACCAGAAAATGTCAAAATCCACTGGTTCCTCAGCCACTTGGAACGTACGACAAGGCCCATTATAAAACATCCATGAAGGGCTGGAAAACGCCCAAGTTCCAGAAAGACAGGAACCAGAGGAGACACTGTAGGCTTTACAAGGGCGGCAAAGCTCTGGCCTGAAGGCTCCGCCATGTGCCTCCCAGTAGTGACCCATGGGCAGCCAAGGCTGGAATCCGGAAGACAAGCAGACAACTGGGATCTGGTGCAACCTTTCCCCTGGGGAACGAGGTGGGGTGAGGGGACCTGGGGCCCTCCAGCTTGTGGGTTAGGTAAGAAAGTGCCTTTCCCAGGGCAAATCACGAAACTGATTCGGAATTGATCAAAGCAGAAGGGCAGAGGGCCCAGAGGGGAGACAGGAAAAGTTGAGATTTTAGGGCTTTCTTCCAGAAATGAAAGCAGGGAGCAGGGAGCAGGGATGACTATTGGTGCCTTTGTATGCAAAATCCATCTGACTTGTCTCCAACCTTATCTTTCCCTACGTGCTCTTACTCAAGACCCAAATTTCCCCCTTACTTAAGCCAAATAAATATCTATGTTCAAATAATATAAAATGGCCAGAAGTTTTTTTCTCTTCTAATTTACCAGATTAAGTCATTTATGGTATAGATTTCCCTGAAAATCTTTAAGCATTAGTTCCAAAGGATAATACTAGAATTTTTTTGGCTTTTATTTTCACTGTAAGTATACATTATTATTACTATTATTATTACTGTAATATATACATTTAATAGTTGGCAAGCATCTCATAAATTCTACACTAGGCTGGGGTTAGCTCAGCTGCTCCCCAGTGATACCCAGTGATACCACAATTACCAAGAATTACCAAGATCTTTCCATGTCTTAACAGTCATCCTCTTAGCTTTTAAATGAATACTCTTACACTCAGTTTCTTATTGAACCTCCACAAGAACCCTGCAAAGAAGGTGGTTACTTCTATTTCATAGGTGAAGAAAGTGAAGCTCAGAGAGGCCCTGATTTACCTCGCGACTCAAGCCTCAGACATTTCTCTAGACTTTCCTAGCTCTCGCACCAGGGACAGAATGATCACAAGACCTTCCTCAATAATCTCATGGATCCCCAAAAGTAAAGTGCTTGGTCTGCGAGGTAATGGATCGAGTACAAGGTCTGCATATGTCTGGGCTTATTCATAATGCAGAATAAATTGGGTTTTATTGGATCCATGCTAAGAAATGTCAGTTCCTCTCTCCACACACATTCCCCAGGTCTCCGAACACCTTTCTCCCATATCTTGGTTGAGCCTCAGGTGAAGAACTTCTGAAGAAAGATCCCAAAGAGATAAGTATTTGTTTGAACCTAGTAGAAAGATGCTAGTCATTAAAGAAATATTTAAATGGCTCTTTATCTCACTCTGAACCAGCACTGTCCAGTAGAGTTAAAATGTGGGACACCACACATACATATATTAAATTATGCAATTTTCTAGTAGCCACATTTTTCAAAGTAAAATGAGACTGGGTGAAATTAATGTTCATGATGTATTTTACTTAACCCAGTATGCCTAAAGCACAATCCTTTCAATGTAAAATCATTAGGAAGGGGTGTTAGTGAGGTATTTTCAATTCCTGTGGTTTTTCTAGTCTCACAGTGCCTTACACCAGGAATTTGCAAGTGCCCAGGAGACACGCGTTAACCGGGGCAGCCCCAGGCCTCCCTCACCTTAGGCGCCTGAGAACACAGCAACGCCTGGCCTTTCGCTGAAGACCTCCTACCAAGTCAGAAAGGCTGGAGCCGGGGAGAGCCGTTGGCGCAAGTCTGAAATGTTTCTAGGGTAACCAGATTCTAAATTCCTGGAGGAATACGCACGTTTTCACCTCGCCCTTATGAGTGTGCTTCCTAATTTACACAGGACCTGTAACTTTGCAGGCTCTTGAAATACTCTTCCTGCACAACTGAGTGAGGTTTGTTCTTGCCTTTCAGGATCCCCGAATTCTTTCCCTGATTCTGCCCAAGTATCTGTGTAGTGATGACCTTCTAACGATAACTTCTCTCTGGGCCTAATATCCATCAAGGG